TTTTTTTTTTTTTTTTTTTTTTTTTGGTTTATGTTTTTACTTTTACATTGCTTCAATTTTAACATGACAAGTTTTTTTTTACATTGTTTGAAACTTAACATGACAAGTTTTATTTTATTTTTTTAAGTAGAGTATTGTGGTTAATTTTAAGCAGAAGTTGCAGCAACAGCAGCAGCTATCTGTACCATTTGTTACCTGAACATGTCTGCTGGAATAACTTGTACAATGAGAAGGGAATGGAAAAAAAACAAGAGCTAACAGTTGTACAAGTGCCAATGTAATTATTATTTTTATTTTTTTTAATATTATGAGAACAGCACTCCATTTTGCTCTTTTGCAACAAGTAAAATAAAAATTGTTCACAGCTTTTCTACAAAACTCACAAAAATTTGAGCTATCACTTTAAAGACAAAAAAAACAAATTGTCATTATTTAAAATACCTTTTATTTATACACATATTCGATTAAAAGTCTGCAGTAACTTATTCAGTATTTGTATTAACTTGAATCATTTTTGTTTTTTAACCTATTTGCAGTTACACCTACTGTATATTTCACTGGTTTGTGTTTTTATTTTTAAGTTGATTTAGAATTTGTCCATTTCTTTTTACTTTTTTCATCTTTAGTTTCCTTCATTTTCTCCCCTTAACCCTTATTTTTAATCAATATGTATCATGGCTGCAGGGAGGGAAGGTTTTAATACAATACCACATAAACTTCTACTCTGGCTCAGTTTGATAAACCCAGATTGTCAAGAATCAGTACCAAGTCAAGACTGCTTGAGGATAAATAAGCCAGCCCTTTGATCCCAGAAACGTTTCACTGCTGTTTATTCATAAATCATTTCCTCCCTCATCGCCTGCCTCTTCATCTCCTGGACACAATCAACACCAACACACCTCTCCTTGTTTCTGTGCATCAGGGATGGACCAGACCAGTCCTCGCCTCAGATTGGCCAGTTCAGTGGCAGCTCAGCACAGGAGGGCGTGTCCACCACTGCCAATCAAGTCCTCATCAAGTTCCACAGTGACTTCAGCACCAGTGGCTTCTTTGAGCTTCATTATTATGGTAATGTCCCTTTTGTATATTTATTTTGAACAGTTTTAAAGGGCCTTATAACACAAAGTATTTAGGGAGAAAAAACAACACACATACAAGACAAAACATAAAACAAAAAAGACAATACAATACAGACAGACTCAAAAGTAGAAACTAATAATGTGCCCCCCCCACACACACACATACACACACACACACACACACACACACACAC